CTTTTCCAGGTTTCTTCACAAGGTGGGTGAAATTCTGGAAATAATGAAACTTGAAACATCTGAGTGGATTGGGGACATACACCTCCAAACCGATGTTGGCATAATGTCAGATGACATGAACATAAATTGTTAAAATGTTTACGAGAACAATAGACAATTATTCGCTTGAAAATCTGGTTGGAGAGGTGCGGCCGTCAAAGGAGGATATAGTGATATGTTTTGTTGAGTATGACATCGATAGTGCGTTGTATCTGAGATTTTCTGGTAAATAGAAGCGACAAAACCCTTTCCACATCCTATAGGAATATCTGCCCAAAACAGATAAGAGTCAATTGTACAATTTTGACTAAATCAATAGAACACATTTGTTTCAGCAGTATTACAGATGGACGATGTTCTCAAAACACAAATCGAGTTAGGAATTGTTAAAATTCTAGAAATTAAAGAGAAGAAAGGTTTCAAGATATTGACATTATTTGTATGTCACTTTGACTCAAAATGAGACTTCGTTATAAGCACTGGTAATTTTAATGCAAAAACAAAGCAGGTACAAGCTAATTGCTTCATCATGATAGATGATGAAAGGTTGTATATAGATGAGATGAGAAAATATCTAGATCGGGAATTGATATACATGGGTCTAGACAAATGGTCGTTGTGTGTTGATATACATGTGTGTAGACTATTGGTCAATGTATGTTGATATACATGGGTCTAGACTATAGGTAGCTGTATGTTGATATACATGGGTCTAGACTAAATGTCGCTGTATGTTGATATACATGTGTGTAGACTAATGGTTGCTGTATGTTGATATACATGTGTGTAGACTAATGGTCAATGTATGTTGATATACATGTGTGTCTAGACTAATGGTTGCTGTATGTTGATATGCATGGGTCTAGACTAAATGTCGCTGTATGTTGATATACATGTGTGTAGACTAATGGTTGATGTATGTTGATATACATGGGTCTAGACTAATGGTCGTTGTGTGTTGATATGCATGGGTCTAGACTAATGGTTGCTGTATGTTGATATACATGGGTCTAGACTTATAGTCACTGTATGTTGATATACATGGGTCTAGACTAATGGTCGTTGTGTGTTGATATGCATGGGTCTAGACTAATGGTTGCTGTATGTTGATATACATGGGTCTAGACTAATGGTCAATGTATGTTGATATACATGGGTCTAGACTAATGGTCGTTGTGTGTTGATATACATGGGTCTAGACTAATGGTCGTTGTGTGTTGATATACATGGGTCTAGACTAATGGTCGTTGTGTGTTGATATACATGGGTCAGGACTAATGGTCAATGTATGTTGATATACATGGGTCTAGACTAATGGTCGTTGTATGTTGATGTACATGGGTCTAGACTAATGGTCGATGTATATGTTGATATACATTGGTCTAGACTAATGGTTGCTGTATGTTGATACACATTGGTCTAGACTAATGGTAGCTGTGTGTTGATATACATGGGTCTAGACTAATGGTCGTTGTGTGTTGATATACATGGGTCTAGACTAATGGTCGTTGTGTGTTGATATACATGGGTCAGGACTAATGGCCAATGTATGTTGATATACATGGGTCTAGACTAAAGGTCGCTGTATGTTGATGTACATGGGTCTAGACTAATGGTCGATGTATATGTTGATATACATTGGTCTAGACTAATAGTAGCTGTGTGTTGATACACATTGGTCTAGACTAAAGGTCGCTGTATGTTGATATACATGGGTCTAGACTAATGGTCGATGTATATGTTGATATACATTGGTCTAGACTAATGGTTGCTGTATGTTGATACACATTGGTCTAGACTAATGGTAGCTGTGTGTTGATATACATTGGTCTAGACTAATGGTTGCTGTATGTTGATATACATGGGTCTAGACTAATGGCCAATGTATGTTGATATACATTGGTCTAGACTAATGGTAGCTGTGTGTTGATATACATTGGTCTAGACTAATGGTCAATGTATGTTGATATACATTGGTCTAGACTAATGGTAGCTGTGTGTTGATATACATTGGTCTAGACTAAAGGTCGCTGTATGTTGATATACATGGGTCTAGACTAATGCTCGATGCATATGTTGATATACATGGGTCTAAACTAATGGTTGCTGTATGTTGATACACATTGGTCTAGACTAATGGTAGCTGTGTGTTCATACACATGGGTCTAGACTAATGGTTGCTGTGTGTTGATATACATGGGTCTAGACTAAAGGTAGCTGTGTGTTGATATACATGTGTGTAGACTAATGGTCAATGTATGTTGCTATACATGGGTCTAGACTAAATGTCGGGTCTTCAGCGTGACGAGCGGACGCTCTTTCCACATCCTATAGGAATATCTGCCCAAAACAGATAAGAGTCAATTGTACAATTTTGACTAAATCAATAGAACACATTTGTTTCAGCAGTATTACAGATGGACGATGTTCTCAAAACACAAATCGAGTTAGGAATTGTTAAAATTCTAGAAATTAAAGAGAAGAAAGGTTTCAAGATATTGACATTATTTGTATGTCACTTTGACTCAAAATGAGACTTCGTTATAAGCACTGGTAATTTTAATGCAAAAACAAAGCAGGTACAAGCTAATTGCTTCATCATGATAGATGATGAAAGGTTGTATATAGATGAGATGAGAAAATATCTAGATCGGGAATTGATATACATGGGTCTAGACAAATGGTCGTTGTGTGTTGATATACATGTGTGTAGACTATTGGTCAATGTATGTTGATATACATGGGTCTAGACTATAGGTAGCTGTATGTTGATATACATGGGTCTAGACTAAATGTCGCTGTATGTTGATATACATGTGTGTAGACTAATGGTTGCTGTATGTTGATATACATGTGTGTAGACTAATGGTCAATGTATGTTGATATACATGTGTGTAGACTAATGGTTGCTGTATGTTGATATGTATGGGTCTAGACTAAATGTCGCTGTATGTTGATATACATGTGTGTAGACTAATGGTTGATGTATGTTGATATACATGGGTCTAGACTAATGGTCGTTGTGTGTTGATATGCATGGGTCTAGACTAATGGTTGCTGTATGTTGATATACATGGGTCTAGACTTATAGTCACTGTATGTTGATATACATGGGTCTAGACTAATGGTCGTTGTGTGTTGATATGCATGGGTCTAGACTAATGGTTGCTGTATGTTGATATACATGGGTCTAGACTAATGGTCAATGTATGTTGATATACATTGGTCTAGACTAATGGTTGCTGTATGTTGATACACATTGGTCTAGACTAATGGTAGCTGTGTGTTGATATACATGGGTCTAGACTTATGGTCGTTGTGTGTTGATATACATGGGTCTAGACTAATGGTCGTTGTGTGTTGATATACATGGGTCAGGACTAATGGCCAATGTATGTTGAAATACATGGGTCTAGACTAAAGGTCGCTGTATGTTGATGTACATGGGTCTAGACTAATGGTCGATGTATATGTTGATATACATTGGTCTAGACTAATAGTAGCTGTGTGTTGATACACATTGGTCTAGACTAAAGGTCGCTGTATGTTGATATACATGGGTCTAGACTAATGGTCGATGTATATGTTGATTTACATTGGTCTAGACTAATGGTTGCTGTATGTTGATACACATTGGTCTAGACTAATGGTTGCTGTATGTTGATATACATGGGTCTAGACTAATGGCCAATGTATGTTGATATACATTGGTCTAGACTAATGGTAGCTGTGTGTTGATATACATTGGTCTAGACTAATGGTCAATGTATGTTGATATACATTGGTCTAGACTAATGGTAGCTGTGTGTTGATATACATTGGTCTAGACTAAAGGTCGCTGTATGTTGATATACATGGGTCTAGACTAATGCTCGATGTATATGTTGATATACATGGGTCTAAACTAATGGTTGCTGTATGTTGATACACATTGGTCTAGACTAATGGTAGCTGTGTGTTCATACACATGGGTCTAGACTAATGGTTGCTGTGTGTTGATATACATGGGTCTAGACTAAAGGTAGCTGTGTGTTGATATACATGTGTGTAGACTAATGGTCAATGTATGTTGCTATACATGGGTCTAGACTAAATGTCGGGTCTTCAGCGTGACGAGCGGACGCTTTAACCACTAGACTATCCAAGTACCCATATGTATATGGATGGGTGGAGACTAAAGATGCCTAAAGCTTGATGTTGGTGGGTATAGGCTAAAGGTAAAGGGCTGTGACGTTTCCTGGTCAACATATTGTCTTTAATGACGATATCGCCATGCCTACCGTGCACGTATTTAACTGATACCCCCAGCAGCAACACATCTCCATAACGCAGCAGAGAGCCACGAGTCTTAATCGCACCTTCATCCAGTATTTCACGGACATAATGACTCACATGTGCGCCAACATCAAAGGCCTGCAGGAGGCATGAGGACTGAACAATGTACTCTCAGATTGACCTTGGGAGATTGATTGAGCCATCCCACATTATATACATGAATATTTAAATCATAGTTGGGGCATGACATTAAAGTATCGTGGATTAAGTGTATACTTTGTTATGTAGATGCAGGTTAAATTGAAATAGGTAAAGGCACACTAATATATAGTATACTTCATATCTATTCCGGAGACGTCACAGGTATACACCTTCATATACGCTCATATCAGAGTTGTGATAAAGTAAATATCTTAATTAACTTAGCGAAATTTGTAAAAGAATCATTAAGGCGAGGAAGTATTTAAAAGGTGTACCTAACCATTTTGTTACTATCATTATTATTTTGTTGAGTTTTGTACTTGGGCCTTGGCCTATTTACATTAAAACATTTGAATTATATTGAATATCAGAGTACGATTTCTATAATAAAACGCAGGCCTTAATGAATGAACAGATTACATCTCTGAGTTACTAAAGCCCTAGGATTTAATCTGTTAAGTCATTCAATTTTCATTGCAGGTTGATACAGTGAGTGCTGGTCGGTTACACGGAACATGGATGTGTTTCTCGCACTCGTCTTCACCAACCTCAGCGTGCCATGTTCCTCCTACACGACAGCATCTACCTCCACTTGGTGCGTCATGCGCTGTCTGGACAGTCATCTACCCTGCAACTCAGTGTTCTACCACGAGGCCAGTCAGCAGTGTTGTCCAAGCACGGTGGTGTACACGCAGGACTCCACATCACTCGTGCCTAGTGACGGGACGCTCTACTTCGTCCAGCCAGGTGAGTCCATTACGTGAGTGAGTGAGTGTTTGGGTGGGTGTATGGGTGTGTGAGTGAGTGAGTGAGTGGGTGGGTGGGTAAGTGGGTGAGTGAGTGAGTGAATGAGTGGGTCAGTGGGTGGGTGAGTTTTACGCCGCTTGTAGCATCATTCAATCAATATCAATCAATCAGTCGTATTGTCCTCAAATAAAATGTAATTACAAGTGCAAGTACAATTATTTTATGTACAAAAAAAGGAAACAGATGCATAATAATAAATAGTATATATAGATACAAAATACAATATAAGATGATCTGTTTGAGTGGCATTTAGAAGTTGGTGACTAATAAGAAAGTAAGATTGTTTATGGATAACAACTTCTTTTATTATATATGGTGCGACGTTTCGGTATGGATTCTTATACCGTTGTCAAACAACGCTTTAACCACTAGGCTACCCCGCCTGGGCTACTTTTGAGAGAATGGGTCTAGACGACTCCTGGGAAAGTATCTACATTGTATATCGGCGTTAACGTTTATATTTAGTGACGAAAATCGTTGATAGTTAATACTTGAAATCTGTGAATATGAGGGTAGTTAAGCGGTGAGTGTGTCACGCTGCATTTAGCAATGTTCCCGCAATATCACGGCGGGCGTCACCAGAATAGGGTTTCGCACATTGCACCCATGTGGGGAATCGAACCCGGGTCTTCGGCGTGACGAGGGAATGCTGTAACCACTAGGCTACCCAACCGCCCCTGCATCTTTAAAATAAACAAGCAAGATTAAATTATATTCAAAGTTGAAAAGGCAATTGTTATATAAAGAAGTTCTGTTAGTGAGGTTCATATTAATATGTTATGTGATGTTACGTTGCATAAAATCAACTCTCGCGTCCTCTTCCGGCCGAACATTATTTCAGGCGAACCCCATCGAGTTATGTCCCTTGGAGCGCCATCCTATAACGCCTTTGGACACAGAACTCAGTCCCAGACGCTAATTAATGTCTGTCGCAAAAACACACGCGCAACTTGTGATTGAAACCAGTTCGGCAAACACCGACAACACTGCGTGCGACATTTTTCGATGTAAGGAGCAATTGTTTACATGCCATATTTGGCAAGTGTTCTCTGTTTGGAAGCTGTTCGCTTCGAAGTTTCAATTATTGATTTTAGGCAAGTCGTAAGGGATACTACGTCTGTTATTGCATCAAAAAGGAAGTTAAAGTGAGCGCATATGCCCCAATATATATAATATAGGCCAAAATGTTGTCGAAAATGTGTGAAATTGTGCCTTCAACACACGTTCTCGTTCATTTATTTCAGCTTTAATACCGGTAACCCCTGTAATAAAGTGCCCACCGGGATCCACCTTGTTCACAACAGAGACAGTTTGTGTTACCTTGACAACAACAAAAATGTCTTGGCAGAACGCTTATGATGAATGCGCCGGACAGTCATTCAATGGAAAAGCTTACCGAATGATAAGTTTCAAAACCCAGGAAAAATACATGGAAGTAAAACAGTATCTAGGAACAGGTAAACATTTATTGCACGTTCCCCAATGACAGAAACGTTGAATACATCATTACTTTTTGTGATGTTATCACTATCATAATTCCACTCTACATGCCTATCAGAGACTTTCTGAAAATAGTTATTTACAGGTAATTATCTCACTTCAGTTTAATTCATTTCTATTCATTCATTCATTCATTCATTCATTCATTCATTCATCAGTCAGTCAGTCAGTCATTATCCATCCCGATTGCATAGATCAATGTTCATGATTCTGATCACTGGATTGTGTGGTCCAGACTCGATATTTACATACTGCGTCCATATGGTAGGGATATTGCTGAGTGCGGCGTTAAACAACAAACAGCAATGGTGCTGCTGCATTAAATCTCTCTTTCCTAAACATAAAAAATAGATAACTTTACTAAAGATACCAAAGATCGATAAAAAATTCAAACTTTTTTAAAACCAAATCCCAGCCTGACAAAGCTTGTTTGATGTATATGATACAGTTACAGTTAGTCTTTATATCTAAATAGTTTATTATCACATTCGTTTGGATTAAGTCAACAAAGTAGAAGAAGGCAGAGTGGGGACAGTAACGGAAGGTAACCTGCATGTATATTCTGCATCGGAAATGGAGATAACCGTTCTAATGAAAGTGTTACATTCAGAATTTTAAATGCATTTAAGGGCATTAATGAGTGCACCAAATATTTCAGATGCCACAGGGGTTTGGACAGGCCTGAAGTACAGTGACAGCACGTGGAAGTGGTATGATGGAACGGTTGCTGCGGTTCAACCATGGGATGGTGCGGAACCCAATCTATTAGGCGTAGAGCTGTGTGCCGTTATATACAAGCCTACGGGTTGGACCATGCATAATAACTACTGTCATTTGAAATGGAGTGCGTTGTGCGAAGTTTCAGCGCTTGAATAATGTGCGTTATGCTATTACATTAGATGATAAAAGGGACAAGCTCCTCACAGCTATTTATCAATTCCTGCTGACAGATCCCGACCAAATAAAGACTTCGTGTTTAGGAATCAATGTGTTTAAGTATACCTGACACTGTTTTATAAACAACGAGAGGGGTAAGGAAGAGATGTCAACTTCTTTATCATGAGGAACACAACGTTTCGGAGTATATCCTTACTCCTTCATGAGGTTAATGAATGCTATGAGGCAGAGAGCACATATAATAAAGCAATAAGACAACAAACATGGAAGCTAAACATTGGAAGCTAACAGTTAACTGGCGTTGATGTGTGATTGGCAAAGGACAAATGGACGTCAACACTTAACAGTATATTAGCACTGAATAGACGCCAACACTAACAGTTAATTATCGCTATTCTATTCTATCCTATGAAAATGTAATATTAAGAGTCCTTTGTCACAAATATTACTTGTTCTCTTTTGACACATTGTAACATTAAGCTATTGTTCTATTCTGTCACATTATAGCACTGAGGGTCTATAGCTTCGGGGCTGTTGTCACAAATAAAACTTGTTCTCTTCAGACACATTGTAACATTAATCTATTGTTCTATTCTGTCACATTGTTGCATTGAGGGTCTATAGCTATGGAGCTGTTGTCACAAATATTACTTGTTCTCTTTTGACACATTGTGACATTAATCTATTGTTCTATTCTGTCACATTGTAGCATTGAAGGTCTATAGCTATGGAGCTGTTGTCACAAATATTACTTGTTCTCTTTTGACACATTGTGACATTAATCTATTGTTCTATTCTGTCACATTGTAGCATTAAGGATTTATAGCTATGGAGCTGTTGTCACAAATATTACTTGTTCTCTTTTGACACATTGTGACTTTAAGCTATTGTTCTATTCTGTCACATTGTATCATTGAAGGTCTATAGCTATGGAGCTGTTGTCACAAATATTACTTGTTCTCTTTTGACACATTGTGACATCAAGCTATTTTTCTATTCTGTCACATTGTAGCATTAAGGGTCTATAGCTGTGGAGCCGTTGTCACAAATATTACTTGTTCTCTTTTGACACATTGTGACATTAATCTATTGTTCTATCCTGTCACATTGTAGCATTGAGGATCTATAGCTATGGAGCTGTGGTCACAAATATTACTTGTTCTCTTTTGACACATTGTGACATTAATCTATTGTTCTATTCTGTCACATTGTAGCATTGAGGGTCTATAGCTATGGAGCTGTTGTCGTCACAAATAATACTTGTTCTCTTTTGACACATTGTGACATTAATCTATTGTTCTATCCTGTCACATTGTAGCATTAAGGGTCTATAGCTGTGGAGCCGTTGTCACAAATATTACTTGTTCTCTTTTGACACATTGTGACATTAATCTATTGTTCTATCCTGTCACATTGTAGCATTGAGGATCTATAGCTATGGAGCTGTGGTCACAAATATTACTTGTTCTCTTTTGACACATTGTGACATTAATCTATTGTTCTATTCTGTCACATTGTAGCATTGAGGGTCTATAGCTATGGAGCTGTTGTCGTCACAAATAATACTTGTTCTCTTTTGACACATTGTGACATTAATCTATTGTTCTATCCTGTCACATTGTAGCATTGAGGATCTATAGCTATGGAGCTGTTGTCACAAATATTACTTGTTCTCTTTTGACACATTGTGACATTAATCTATTGTTCTATCCTGTCACATTGTAGCATTGAGGGTCTATAGCTACGGGGCTGTTGTCGTCACAAATATTACTTGTTCTCTTGTTACACATCGTAGCATTAATCTATTGTTCTGTTGCATCAAATTGTAACATTAAGGGTCTATAGCTTCGGGGCAGTTATCATCGCAAATGTTACTTTACATAGTCACCATGAAGTTTGTATAACATTTTTTTTCAAGTCCAAGTGGTACATCTAATTTGAATGTACGTTTTATCACTTATCAAAATGTGACTCAATGTCAAATGATATGCAAAAAAATTTGAGCATGTATAGAATTTTTGGATAATACAAAATGATGTTATTTCCTTCAAATGTTTAAATTTCGTTTAAACGTGTATATTATGTGGATGATATGATTAAGTCGTGTGTGTTCAGGAACTCTTCTCAGCCATGTAATATCAGAGTATCAGGTATTCCGCTTATTGCGTATTTGTTGTTCCCTTGTCCAAAGGTTGTGTATTTAATATCCAAAGGTTGTGTATTGAATGTCCCGGAAGGTAATGAAAATGGTGTGGTCCAGCTGGAAGGGACATTTTCCGAGAAAGTATGGTGTCTGTATCAACAACGATTTGCACTGTTTTACTATAATATCTGACATTGAAATATGCACTATTCTGTCAGTACACATGTACAATTGTGGTATTCTTCTCTTCTGTCATACTGTAACATTAAACTATTATTCACATCTGCCACATTGTAACATTAAACTATTGCTCTATCATTAACATTAAACTATTGTTCTGTTCTATCACATTGTAACATTAAACTATTGCTCTATCATTAACATTAAACTATTGTTCTGTTCTATCACATTGTTACAGTAAACTATTGTTCTGTTCTATCACATTGTTACAGTAAACTATTGTTCTGTTCTATCACATTGTTACAGTAAACTATTGTTCTGTTCTATCACATTGTTACAGTAAACTATTGTTCTGTTCTATCACATTGTTACAGTAAACTATTGTTCTGTTCTATCACATTGTTACAGTAAACTATTGTTCTGTTCTATCACATTGTTACAGTAAACTATTGTTCTGTTCTATCACATTGTTACAGTAAACTATTGTTCTATTCTCTCAGATTAAACTATTGTTCTTGGTGAAACGTAGATAAACAATTTCTCTGTGTGTCCATTGGCGGATGAAAAGGCACGTTTCATTGTCTAAACAGGTCATTTAAACGTGCACCCCCCAAAAGACGTACGTCTAGGATCGATGATAAAATCAATATGTTCACACCCGGTTCTCAATATGAGCTGAGGCCATGCAGCCTCAACAAGGTTATTTGTTCACTGAATCATAACGGTTCATCTGATCATCATAACAGCATGAAGTCAATTACGGGAGCGTCGGGTACTTTGTTCCATGTGTAACGGCCGTGAAATGTCCTCGTCCGACTCCACACCTTGCTACATACTGCTCAGTCAACAGAAGGCCCGTCCCGGGCCGCATAGCAGGGTACTAAGACTTACTTTGCTCAAATTTCATATGTACGTGTTCAGAACCAGGTTGAGCGCAAATGCAGCGGCCATAAAATGTTCGAGTCCTGTGCTGGTATTCGAACCACGTACCTTCTGATCCGAGGTCGGACGCCTTGTCCACATGACCAAAGAGGTTAACCCCGTCAGCAAGCTGACATGGTAAGGATGTCATGTGGATGACTCTGCGCCCTGCTACACAAGCACAGAAAACGAAATGCGAATCTCAAATGCAAAGCTTTATTCAAATAGGTTGACGTGTCAGCTATGGACAATATAGCATCCATTAGGGTCCGTCAATAGGTATGTAAGTAATGAATTGTCTGGTCCAGACTCGATTATTTACAGATTGCCACCATATAGCTGGGATATTGCTGAGTGCAGCATAAAACTAAACTCACTCACTAGCCATACAGTCGTATCACAACCCTCAGACAACGGGGTCCCTGCGCTTCGACCTCCATTCTGAATCACATTCTTGGAATAACTTGAATAACACCTACGTCAACCCATTGCACTTCCCAATATGATCATATGGCATATCATAATGTCCGCATCCTAGAATTTCTTATTGAAATGATAAATATTTCTCAGTAAATTATACAATGACTTTGACCCTTATCACGCTTTATGCATGACAGGCCTTTCTTATATTTCCATAAACATCTGCTGTCATCATTTTTGAAGGGGCGGTGGGTAGCCTCGTGGCTAAAGCGTTAGTTCGTCAAGATAACCACCCGGGTTTGATTCCCCAGGTAATTGAAGCCCGTTTCTGTTGTCCTCAGCCGTGATGCTGCTTGAATATTGCTGAATATACTAGCACTTTAATATTGAATATAACATTACAAACTTTATTATTTGAAGTCATGCATAAACACTTGTGTAGATTCTTCCATTTGACTGTACCATTATGTTTTGAAATGTGACAAAGGCCCGGAAAGGAAGGAATCGAGTTTAATGATTAAGTATGAACACTATTGGGAGAAGGTATACTTGACAACCTTTCATGCTGGCAACAAACAACCGACTGTCATTGTCATTCATAATCTTTCTTTCCCCATACAACACTTGAAATGAATCTTTAGAAAGCGAATTCTGTGAAAATTCCCTCTAGTAATGTTACAACGTTATTGACATACACTTAAACGTCACAGCATCCTCTCAGAATATATTGATGCCTCCAAGGATAAGATGTACTGCACTCAAGAGAATCCGGACGCGTTTGAGTTTATAACAATGAACCGTGTATAACAATGGCCGTCACACAAAGAGACATTGTTAATCATCGCCACAGGTATAAGTAAACTACATGAGTGTGTGCGTGCGTGTGTGCGTGCGTGTGCTGTGACATTTTATTTAGCCAAGAGGGGACATCGCTGTAGTGTAGTGGTCAAGTAGACCTGTCAAGAGACATCGCTTGCTCGCTTTCAGTTATGGCCGCGAGAAAGCAACAGGGCTCGTAATTAGGTCACGGCACTTCGCGAGACAGTATTACTTTCGGTGACAGACAACTTTTCATTGTTTTCGAATGGTCTCAGGAAACGATAACCCTTGGGGTGGGCTATAACATTTATAGCTTGATGACGGTGTAAGGGAATAAACAAGAAGTTGTTATCTAAAAAGTCGTATACTTCATTATTGACTCACCAACTTCAAGAATACAGATCAAACAATAAAACATATTTTAGCATTTTATTTAATTTCGTAAGACACTTCGACTGAAAAGAGTTATAAGAAAATATAGTTGTTAATGATATTTCACAAAGGATTCCGTTCCTATTGTCCAAGGACTAATGAAGCCCTCAGAAGTCGTGACTTCAAATCTGTCTGTATTGTTTAGGGTATGAAAACGGTTAGGTCCCGTAAGTTCGACCTTTGGATGGGTGTAAAAACAAACTGGTCGGTTTGGAGGGGTATGTCGTTTAGGTCGACTTGTTCCAGACAAAGGGCAGTGAATGTTTTTACAACGGCACAGTTAATGCTAAAATGTTCACCCGAAAATAAGTGAACAAGGACGCTGTAAAATCTCATTTTTATTTGTGCATTCATAGGGGTAGTAATTTGCATTCTCTACATGATGCATAATGCATATAATAATAATAATAATAATAATAATAATAATAATAATAATAATAATATGAGTAACAAACTAACTGACTGAAGGAAGCGACATTAAAATCTAGCAACACTTCTCATGCTTCCTTGAGTTAGATTTTCTCCCAACTGAAAAAATGCGAAATCCTCATGTCCCTCACTGTTTGGGGCGTAATTGTGGCGTAACTATTGACTTTACATAATAATAGTGTGAAGCAAAATTGTTCCACATTTTATTGTCTACAGTTTGGGACCTTCAAAAAGAAAATCCATTGTGTCTTCGCAGAGCTGTGAACCCTATAAAAATGCGTTTCGCCAAAAATTGACCAACTTCCAAGGGCAATAACTCCGACACTATTCAAGATATCGACATGCATTGAACAACCTAAGTAGTCCGGAGTGTGGGCTTTAAA